AGTCGAAGCGGGCCTTAAGCATTCCTTGCATGCTCGCTGAGCCCTAATCCCAAGCCCATCTATCAACTCTGCTGCTGCTGCTACAAAGCAAATCCAATTCGCTTCAGGTTTTTTTCTTACTTATTCTACTTCTTTTTCGTTTTCTTCTTACTGCTGTTGCTCGTGGCAATGTATACAACAATGGCCGCAGGTCATGCAACAGAGCCAAAGCGAAGCCAACCAGCTACACACAAACCACTTCAATTTTCATGTAATCTCTTTAAATGTGAAACAACAAACAGCAACAACAACAACAGCAGCTATAGAGAATCGCATACAACACACATGACAAGCTGCACTTCAATTGAATTCCCTCAAAAGTTGTTACAAATAAATTCTTTGCGAGTGAAAATAAGAAACTTAAATGAGTTTCAATTTCGTGAGTGTCCAGTGCTTCAAAATGTCTCTTCACGTGCAGTTAAAAATTGTATAAATCTATTAGATGCTGATGTCGTTGTCGCTGTTGTTGTTGTTGTTGCTGCTGTTGCAATGTCACAGTCGGCTACACTTTATTTGATTTCATTACGAACATTTTTCAGCTTTTGTTGACAAAGCGTTCTGGACAGAGAGACACAACGAGTGCGAGTCCATATCACACTAGTGTGAGCGAAATGGCGCTATGCTCCTTTTATTGCTTTTCACATACATATGAATGTATGTGCATGTGTATGTGTGTACAATCAAACATTGATGTCAGAATTTAATATGCTGTATAAATCGTTTTGAGCCATTGACACATTCATGCATTCGCTTCATATTCGTAGAAAACATCTACGGATACTCAGTTACTCAGCAGAGTATGCTTGACTAATTAATATTCTGTAAAGCACTATATATATATTCTAGTTCTTCTACTCTATAGCTTTCCTTAAAATGATCCCTTAAATAAAATATGTATTTAAAGTTTGCTTTACTTCTATATTATGTTCGACAGTTTGCTTTCGATAATAATCGATATATTGTATTGACTTAATTATTAAGAAATAATAAATTAATTATTAATTATTTAATTATTAAGAATAAATAAATTTATGATAATGATAACGTTCAATACTAACGATGCTCGCAACTATCGATTAATATGTCGTAAATCCTTGATTGTACATGCTGAGCTCCTGCTGTCTTATATCACCCAGTGCCTTTAATTGCGTGGTATAAAAAAGCAACGAAGAGTCATGATATGGTCGTAACGCACTGCCCTATATGAAAAAATATTTATATTTACACGCAGCTCACACACACTCACACACACATACATGCACACTCAGCACACAGAGAAGCAAATTCTTATTTTTTTATACGCTTTTCGTATTTCTTTGTTTTGTATATAAAAAAATAAAAGTTGTTCACTCTTATTGCTTTTCGAAGCTTTTCCATTGGTTCACATTTCATTTATTTTCACTTGCAGTCAACTCAACAGGGCGTGTGTGTATGTGTGCGTGTGTTGCTGTATCTGTGTGCACTTCACAACTTAATACACTTTATTATTGAAAATATTTTTTATTACCAAGTGGGCTGTGTGAAGCGCTTTCCCAGAATTTGGCCCTGACACGCGGCACATAGTTTGCCCCCACAGCTTGCTGTTGTTGTTGGTTGGCGCATTGATTTGCTGCACTCGTTCCATGAAGTACAAATACCAAGTACAAAGCACTTCTCTCAACAACAACATCCAACTCTCTGCCCCATTATACGCATACAATTTATTTCGTTTTTCGATACCCTAGCATTGGAGTATGACAATAAAACATAGATTCATCTTAATATTGAAGGTATAGTAAATAGAGTGAATTAGAGTAAAGATAAAGTAAAATATACTAACTGAAATTTATCAGTCAAACTATGAACTATGGATTGAAAATTATATTTGAGATCTTCGTTTGGTCTGATTCAATATTTAATTTGCTTAGTTAAGATATTAATATTGTTCATATTAGATTATGAAACAGTAATATACAAAAATTATATTTATATTTATTTTAATAAGTTTCCTGCGCTAACTTTACATCTTAACTAAATCTTTCGCTTTTTGAGATATTTGAATATATTTTATATAACATTCATACGCATATCCTTTTCTCTAAGTGTATTTAATCTTCGGCTAACTGCACATATAAATGTATATATTTATATATATATCTTTTTATCTATATAATGTTTTTCCTGCGCGGATTTTGATATTCATGTTGCATGTTGCTGACTTTTGAAGTTTTTGGCAAGTGGAAACTTTTTTTGATTATTATTTTTTGGGGTTTTATGCGGCTTTTTTCTCGCTTTTTGTGTTCTGCTCCGTTACGTTGAGGGTTCAATTTGTTTACTTTAATTTACATTTTGTGTTTTGTGTTTTTTTGCATGTTGTGTTCAGGGAATATATTGGAGCAGTTGCGTCTGTGCTGATTATAGCTCAAAAGTTTTTTTGTAGGTTACGCGATTGTTTTATTTTGTTGTTTCCGCTTTTTATTTTTTGGATTCCTATGCAAATGGCGCTTTGAGCCTCTTTAATGAACTACTTTTTGTGGCCGTCCTATTCGACTCTGTTTTCATTCAATTGAATTGTGCGTGTGCCACGCCTGCTGCTGCCGTTGCTGCTGCTGCCCAACCTTCAGTTCCCATGCGCATAATTTATGTGCCCGCTTCTCACTGGCTCATTTGCCAAAGTTTCTAAATATATTTATATATATATATATATATATATATATATATATATATATATATATATATATATATATATATACAGGACTCGCTCGATTCGTTTCTGTGTGCGTCAGTTTGATAAATGATATCAATTTCTTATGAACTCTACAGCACATAAGTGGTATAGTATTTTCTATAGGCGTCAAAGTTTGTTTTGCCAATTTTTTTGTTCCTTTTTCATTTCTGCTTCGTTTTGTTTCATTGCACGTGTGTGTGTGTGTGTATTTGTTTTGTTGTGTTGTGTTGTGTCAGTTGCTCAACTGTCGTCATTTTGCCAATTTGACACTTTTAACGTCTGCGCACTTGAAATTCAAATGCTCCCCGGCGCTTGACAGTTGAGCATATGAATTTTTAATGGGGCATGTGGCAGGCTTTTAGAGGCACGCGAAATCTACATATGGTTAAGCTTATCAATATGCTAATCGTTCAGCTCTGCGTCCCTGTATGTGTGTGTGCGAGTGTGAGCATAATGTGGTATGCTAAGTAACGTACTCAGGTGAACTCTGCTTGTTAGCAGGTATCCGCCAAATGCGCGCGTCTCCTTTTCTTTAAGCATCACAAAGGGTTTTTCGTAATGGCAAATGTTGGCTATAAATAGTAAGGCTTCAATAATTGATGCGCACATTTGGCCCAAAGTTTATATTTAGAAAATGTTATATTTCCCAGACGGCAAATTAAAGAGGTTTGCTTAGAAGACGTAGAAACCAAAAAATAAACCAAATTTAATAAGTTTTTGTCTTTAAATCCTTCTTCTTAACATTAATGATTTAAGTTTTGTAATTTTATATGCTGCTTGGCTTAGCTTATGGAAAAGGCTCTTCAATTTATAGTTAAGAAGACTTTCTAAACAGAAACTTTGATGAAATGTCCTTAAGAACTGATTTCTTTGGCATCTTAGCTTACATTTCTAAACTCCAGCGAAACTCATTTGTAAAACCTAACGAAATTGGTAATATTACTGAAGCGTCACCCCTTTTGCTATCCATTTCCCTTTTTATCTTATTGAGTGTATGATACGTTGATAATTGGGTTAAGTGCTTCAGTGCAGCTCGCAGCTCTGCTTCTAACTAGCAGACTATCAGTTTCAGAAATGCTTTCGGCCCTGAGCCTAATCAAATCAACCATTTTAGCTGCCAACTTTTACCAATTTCACATAAACTAGCATTTCTAACGAGCCAAAAATTAAGAAAACACAAAAACCAAAAAAAAAGAGTAAAAGAGAAGAAGAAAATGAGAACATTTTGATGTGTGGCCAGTTGGCTTCCAGGCCTTACGGCTATTAGCCCAGAAAAACACACATAAAGAGCTGTGCAACACATTAGCCAGAAACGAGACTCGACGCAGACCCACCAAGTAGCCAGACGACAGACGACAAAAGCAACCAAAAAAATTGCCGCCAGCCAAAACAGTTCCCAGACTGGCGGTGGCATGGGCAGCGAACTAGAAAAACTTTTCGGACGCTAATCTATAATGCTGTCAGCCATTAAACATTAAACAACTGAAAAACCAAATTTGTAACTCATTAAAAAATAGAAGAAAAAAAAAAAGAAAGAAAAAAATGAAACTAGCTGAAAGTGAGTCGAAATGACTGATAAATGCCACTTGGCTGCTCTCTCGGCTGTCTCATTTGGGCTGCCAAATAATATTTAATTATAAACAAATAAACGCGAAACGTCGAACAACTTTTGAGTGCCCGAGGCAACTCAATGGGGTCGTATCTAGACATTTTTGTTGTCGTTGTTCTGTTGTTTTGGGACTGCTGTGCTCGTAAAAGGTGCAGAGTGATTAATTATATGTCAGTGGAATTAAATCAAATATTTGAGTTGACACACACACACACACACATACACTGAGAGAGAGACAGCGAAACGAATGGGCTTTCGGGTATGGACTCGCTGCGGCTTATCTGTCTATACGAAATCACGAAATGCAAATAAAAATGACTTCAAAATGCCATAATAATTTTCCGAAGCGTGCATGAAAAATTGAAAAACCAACGAACAGAGTAGCTAGCACAGTCCGAAAGATAACAAAATTCTCAACCTTTTCCGCTGTTAGATCAACCAAGAAAGCAGACGACAGTGTGGGTTAGGGCGATAGAGAGGTAGGCAGGCAGCCAAGCAGCCAGCCAGGCAGGCAGGCAGGCAGTCATGACAAAGTACAAACGAAAAGAAAAAAAAATGAAAAGGAAGAAAACATTAGCATATATCAATGCCAAATGCAAATAAATCATCAATAACATTTCTTTTCCACTTATGCACCACTTACAGATACTTAACCGCGAAGACAAAGACCGTGGATCGGCTGCAGCTGCATTTGTATTTCCAAGTTCTTCGTCATTTTCGGATCTATATACACAGGAGCCAGAGCAGGAGTAGAGCGGCGTGTATTGTCATATGGCTGGCAGCATTTGGAACGTTGCCTTTTGCATAAATTGACGCCAGGCGGATAAGCCGAATAAGTTGAGCAGCAGCTGCGGGGGAGGCAAATGGAAAGCCGAAATGGAAAGGCAAACATAAAGCAATTTTATGCGTTTTTAAAATGCGTCAATTGACTGAGACAACAAAAGCGCGCGCGAGCGTCTGCTGCCGTTAAATTCAAGAGAATCGCATGTGAGCACGTTTCCCAGCAGCAAAAGGGAGACGCACAAATCAAATACGACGCCGTATAAGCATATCGAATAGGAGGAACCGCAGGACCAAGACCCAAGACGTGGCTGATAAGACGCCGGCGAGGGTGCCGGGCAGAGGACGCTTGATGGTTTGTTGACGACCAACAAAAAGTTGTTGAGCGTGTAAACATTGGCAGCATAAAAAGGAAGAAAAAGGGAAAAGCGAAAAGGGAAAAGCCAAGGCAAAGCAGGCACCAGGAGCAGTACCAGCAGCAAGGGAGCAGCAACAAGAAGCAGCGAGCCACATTTATAAATGCTCTACAGTTACAAATTGTAGCCACAGCTGTGCGTGCGTATGCGAGTCTGACTCTGTGTGCGTGTGCGTGTGCGTGTGCAGCACATGTGCTGTAAACCATTTATAAATGTAACAAAAAAGCAGACAAAGCCAGTTGGGCGCAAGTGCAATGCATAAATATAAACAAAAAGATACAAGCTGAAGAAGGAGCTAAACAAGCTACAGCAGCAGCAACAACAACAACAACAGCAACACAGTCAGGGGTAGCAGTGCGAGCTATAAACAAAACGAAGAAAAAAATCAATATTTTAAAGCGCCAACGAATTACAATTGTATCTACGAGATACAATTTAAAAGAGACGTGAATTCCAGTTCCAATTCCAAAAAAAAAAAACCTGTAAAAAATTGGCAATAGTATCTATGAGATACATTAACGCTGTGGGTGTGTCGCGAGTGTTAAAAAACAATACACGGCGTGCAGTGCATAAAATCGTGAATTTATGTCTCAGCAAATGCAATTCGCAGGCGTAGATACATTTGTATCTGCAAGTTGCAGTTGTGACAAGTGCAGCTTGACGAGCCCAAATAGCCCAGAGCAACGGAGTTCGTGCATGTTTCTGTGAGATGCATAAGAATTTGGACTTTAAACATTAATATATAACAAAAGTGAATTACCGAAAGGAAAATACCTGAGACGTGACTTCTCTACACAAAGAAACATTTGTATTTTTAAGATACTTTTGCAGAGTGTTTTGACAACAACTGCCACAACTGAACAATGAAATAAGCTAAATAAATAAAGTGTCTAAACGAGTTCTTACCCAAAAGATACATTTGTATCTTAAGCCACATTTAAAGTGCTCATAAAATATGTAGTTAAATACTTTTGTATCTATCAATAAAGTTTGCCAACACTTGGCAAATTTTGCACAGAAATCGTTTTAAAGCCCCAACCCAAATTTTAGTGTTAGCATTTGGACAAACAGCAACGCCAAATTGCAGGCAACAATCAGCTAAAATCAAATCGAATTCTAAACGCAAAATCCTCTAACGCATTTGCACCTGATAATTCAATTTTGGTTTTTTTTCTGTTCAATTCATTTGCAGAGAATTCACAATTGTCGCCAACGGAGCCACACAGTCAAGCAACAACCAATGGAACATGTTGATGCCGATGCTGGAATACAACAAACACATTGCCAAAATACCAAATTGCAAAATGAGGTCGCTTAGGGCGTGGATGCAGCAAATGCTGCTATTGCTGCTGCTCTTTGGCCACTGCGATGTCATCCGGGCGCTGGACAATGCGTCCGGCAATGGCAACAACAACGGCGTAGGCGGTGGCGGCGGCGGCAGCATCAGCGGCTCCAGCTCTATTGTGGGTGCGGGTGGCACAGCATTAAGCGGACCTCCAGGCGCCCTGAATGCCAATCTCACGGATCTAGGCAGTCCCGGTGTGTATAATTCGACAAATGGTTTAATGCTAATTACATGTAGCGCTGAGCTGTTTAGCTGTGAACTCCCCAACCAAATTTGAGGCGACGCCGCCATTTTGGCTGTTTCATGATGTGTGCGTAATATATTGTGTGTATTGTTGTGTTTGTGTGTGTGTATTTTCTTGTGCGCATTTCCGGTTTCCGTTTCCGCCGGCCACTATCCGGTTGCCTTGGCAAAAAACTATTAGCCACTTTTAGCTAAATAACCACGCCCAGCCAGCCCAACTCTTATATACTTAACAGCTATGCTCAACGCACACATACACCCCCGCACACACACACATACACTAGCAAAACACTAAGCATCAATTAACCCAATTTTCAGAATCCATTTTCACCTGGCTCGGGTGCTGCTCTCTGAGCTTTAGCTTTTTCTCTATATACTTTTTCGAGCCACACTTCTTTCATGTTTTCTTTTATTTTTTTATATTTTTGTTCTACCTCCGTGCGATGCAGTAGCAGTGTGTTTAGCTTAGCTGTCCTTTTAGAAATATTTTTTGCGTATTTTTTTTTTCGTGTATACCCTGGCCAACAAATGCTGTTGACTGTGTAAGCTGCCAAGTGAAGAAATGGCTTGTTTATGGGAAAGTTTGAAAGGCATTTATACGCATCGCAATACGTCTTCATATATAAGACATTTATATAACCAATTTTAGAGAGAGTGTAAAGAGAAGTTAAAGGATAAATTTCTGATTCAGAAAAGTTATAAAATTTAATCTAGAAATCGACTTTAAAGACGCTTTCGCTAGTTCAAATAGAGTTTGTTAATGAACTCGATGTCCTACGGGGTATCTGCTGGTCGGTCACCATCGACTAGAGTGCAGACTTATTCTGCTGCACCACTACACCAAATCCCAAGTGGCGACGTCGCCGTTCGCCAAACTTTAATCCCAGAAACACCATCCATACATAGTATATAATGTGGCTTGCCTGCCCGCTTGGCAGCTACTCGTGGTATTTGTTTTCTCTTTCTTTCTATTTCGCAGGCGCTGACGTGTTTTGTTGTAGTTTGGTTTTGGTTTGGTCTGGAGGATTGGAACGTTGTGGAACGCCTTCGTGAAAGCTGCCAACAATAATAACAATAATTAATCTATTGACTTTAATTTGCAGCTTACTGAATAATGCACATAAATATTACAATTAATTTTTTCCAGCATTTAACATTGCATATTTTAATAACTATAAAATGGAATTTTCATCAAAATATTTCCTCTCATTTATATATTGTTTTTTTTTTTCCTCCACCCACTCATTCAGCGTGAAGCTCATTACAAATTGATGAGCTCGTAATCAGCAGCAAATATTTTTAATAATTTTCATTTCAGCTTACATTTTTTGCACAGGTTTCGCCGAGCTTTCGATTCGCATTGCATTTAATCATAAATAATTTATGCTTACACATTTCACAGGTTCTGTGCGTGTTTATATTAATCTAATTGTACACTTTGATAGAGTCGTTTTTCCCTTATCTCTAACATGCGGGCGACATTGGCCTAGGCAGCTGGAATGAAATGCAGTTCAACAGACGTTTGATTGATTTGGCATCGCGGCATTCATCAACCCATATAGCTATCTAGAAGCAGCTGCGGCAGATACTTTGGGATTACACTTGGGATTGTCAAGTGGTAAGTTTTATTGGGTTCGCCCTTCAGCTATTTAGCAACAGCATTTGACATACTTTTATGAATCTAGGTGGTTGCAACTTCCTCAACACATACGGGCCACTCGGAAGTCGTAAAACTTTTCGATAGAAAGATGATAAAGCAACAATGAAACAACTTCAAATGCAGGCATCTCTCTCTGTATATTGTTTTAATGTAAAAATATGAAATAAGCACAAGTTTATTAATTTTTTTCTTGCTATTTTAAGCACTGCAAACTATGTAATTATATAAAAAAAAACTCTACTTAAGATACTATTTAAAGTTCTATCATTAAAAAGTTCTTAATAAAATTTAATTGAGATGGAAGAAACATTTTAAAAATTGTATTTATATATAAACATTTTATATAATATAAAAAAAAATATTTTTCTATTGTATCACTGTATAAAAATGTGTCATAAATATATAATATATTTTAAAAATGTATACATTTTAAAATGTTTAAAATTTTCTCTGAAAAATATTTATAAATAAATAAATAATTAAGCAAATGTTAATATTATTTTTGTTATTTATGGGCTTGGGTACAAACTTGGTATTTCACATTGCTGGAAAAAATTTCCTTTTTTAGCTTTTAAATCACTTTTAGAAGATAGATAAAAAGGTTTCTAGAGTCTGACTAAGTTTGCTTCAGATTAAAAAAAGTTAGAGTTGTCAGTTAAATATCGATTCAAAATATAAAAAAAAGGCTGTTCAAATCTATTATGCGATCGAAGATCTATATCGTCTTACCTTCTTTTTCATAGGGTGTTTAAAACAATTTCTTGTTACGCTTCACTCAACGAACGGGGTGGGCAGGAAATGGACTGCAGGCAAATGCCTTTATAAAGATAACGTGCGGCCTACGCGACTGCAGTCGAGAGAAACGTGTTTAAGGCCAACTTTTAGCCAGGCATTCAGCTTGTTTTGTTGCCTGGGAGAGATACGGAGTTTTATGCGTTCGCAGCCAGTTGAAAGCCAAACAAGGCACAAAGATCGATTGAAACGAAAGTGTTGATAAGCTGAGACCAAAAGATAAAGTCAATCAATCAATGGAGACAGCGTCTTTTTAAATTGACTTAATTATCTAGACTAGAGAGACTTAAAATAGCTGATTTACATCGAAATTGGTAACTTAATATGCCAATTGCCGGCGAACAAAGCAGACACTTGGCTTATGAACATATTTGGATCGCCTGGACAAGACAGTGAATGGCTTTTATTAACGAATTATACAAAATATTTGGACAACAAAACAATTTGCTGTGAATGACAACAAAAGGAGCAGATTGAATTTCAATGGGCATTCAAAAGAAACTGGTTTATGGACTAATCGCAGCTGATTTGTTGTGTCATTTGTTCATAGTACATTTTTTGTGAGCTAAGAGCATTTGAGAATTTATTGTTAAATTAGCTTGAAAATTGTCTGATCAGTTTTCTAAGCGAAAACTTGGCAAATTCGAGAAACTGCAGAAATACACGAAAACTTTCACGTTGCGTCCATGCGCCATTTTGCCATTCGCCATTCGCCACTCTCAAAACTTGCCACACACAAAACTTGCACCCAAACAAATAGCTGGCCATAAGAAGTTGTTCAAATATTTATTTACTTTTTCAAGTTGTTGTTTCTTTCTGTATTTTACTTATTCCTTTTTTTTAGTCCTTGGGCAAAAAGTTGGGCCGCTACTTTTTGCACCTGCTTTAAGTTGCGCTGCTGCAAAACTAATAACAAATCTTTTCATTAGTTGCGTTAGACAAGTTAGTTAAAAAAGTGCACTTTGCTCAAACAGATGAGAGTCAATATATGTGCTATATACAGAAAACAATAGAGCAGAACGGAGCAAGAGAGATGACAGCTGGTTAGCAAAGCTGCTCGACTAGCTGATGCTCTACACTGTAAAAGCAAATGGTACATAATTATTATCTAAGATTAACAGAACAATTATGAAAAAGAGTAATATTCAATATTATGGCGATGATATTGATAAAAAAGTAGAGAGTTTGAAATTTTTTGGCTTTGAAGCGAGCAAGTTAGATAGCTTAGATAGATAGATGGAAGGCAAGCGCTCATTGAAATAGCTTTTCCATGGCCTTAAGGCGAAGATGGTCATGGAAAAAAGATTGTCAAAGCCAATAAATAGCTGGCAGCATAAGAAGACGAAAGCCACAGCTGGAGTTGGAAACTGGCTGCAAGTTGTCTAAAAGTTGTTGTTGCTGCGGCTGCTGCTGCTGCTGCTGCCCCTGCCATGCATAATGAAAGCATAACATTTAGTTAGCACTTGTATTTATCTAAGGCAGACACAGAGCAAGTGAGTGAGATGGCCAAGACTTTTCCATTAATAACTCGAAAATGTTTTCGCTTATATAAGTTGAGCACACACCTTTTAACACAGGAAGAGACACAGACACAGACGCAGGCTTCAGCTCTGGTTCTAGCTCTGGGGATGCCTGCCCCCAAGTGTCCTTTAAAAGTTCTATGTTTTTCTATTTTCTTTTCGTTCGCTTGCGTTTGTTGGTAAAAACAAATCAAAGGAGCTGGCAACTTGAGGCTTGGGCATAGTACAATGACTCTAACAACAACAGGGACAAGTCATGACAATGGCAATTAAAGCAACAACGTTGGCAACAGACAAACTTTTTCCCATAAAGAAACATGAAAAGCAACAGCAACAGCAACAACTATGGCAAAATGGGTAAAAACTCTCGTAATAAACGAAAATTATGATGATTTTCTATTTGGCATCGCGTTTTACAAAATCATTCTCAAAGCCCAAGCGCGAAGAACAAAGCACCATAAAAGCAATACGACAAAGCAATCCAAAAGACAAACCCGAACACAGCCAGGAATGGGTGCGAAGGCTAAGACGGAAAACCCAGCAAAAAGAAATTAAATGACGGGAAAATATATATTAAATGATAACAGCCATGTTTATTGTCTGTAGCAAGTGCGTTAAGTGAAATAATTTTCAGCTCAATGTGTTTGCTTATGAGTAAATGGCATTAGCGCTGCTAAAGCAAGTTAAAGTTGTCGACAATCATAATGAATAAATGATTCTTAATATGTTGGGTCCGTGCTTTCAGTTCTTGGAAATATTTTATAAAGCAAAAATAACAATACAATTCTTTATGTCCAGGCTAAACATTTGTATTTAAGGAACTTTCAAAGGTTTCTCAAACATTTAGAAACAACTTTAGAGCGCTCTAGTCGGCAGTGCCCGACGAGAACATACCCTGAGACCTGCACAAAGTTACTATTTCTTCAGTTTCTGTGCATTCGCCACTGAAACAAGGTAAATTAGAAATCGCTATTCAAGCTACGCTTAAGAAAACGAAAATTAAATAAGCGTTTATTATCGATAATAAAGATAGTTGGTATTGAAATAAAATAATAAAATATGCACATAAAATTTCCATTCTCCAGCTTTTGTGGTTAATGATATCTCTAAGTAGATATAAATAGATAGACGTGGCTAAATCGACTCAGCTCGATGTATTTGATCTATTAAGAATCATTAGTACATCTGATAAAAGTATTTATTTTATGGCTCGAACTTTATTATAGGCTCACTTCATGATTTTTTTTACTAATGATAATAGTCTTAGCTTCAATTATTTTATGTTATTTAAAGCTCTTAGCATAATAAAAACCTTGTAGCCTACCTTCGCTAAACAATAAAGTTACATAAGAAAGTTTCTGTTTGACATACAAGTCAGTTGAAACATCTATTTGCCAAGAGTATTATCGACATTTAATAAGTTCAAAAATATTTGTGAATACCTCAAGGAGGAATATCGCAACGCATATTCAAGTATGGCCAACTCTGCTGCTGACTTTGCAGCAGAGAACCGATTTCAACAATGGCTTAAACGTTCGAAGGATATTAATTACAGCACTATAAGGACTGCACGTCGTACTACTGTCGATTTGCTTATCTATGTCATATTTTTGGGACTGGCTTCAAAAGGTAGGCAACGATCTCTATTGCGATTGCCTGAATTGAACTCGCTCTTTCCCGCAGTGACGCAGACGTTCAATAATAAAAATATGTTCTTCTACAACGACTCTTTTCAGAGGCAATTGATAAAGCGTGAGTTTACCTTGGAGGATGGCTCAAAATGCAAATTTGAGATTTACAGCATCAAGAACTTTTGGGGCTATGCTTTGCATACATTTTTACCATTTCTCGTGCAAGGCGACTTTAGGCCGAATGATCCGAGCGCCATCTATGAGTTTCCCAACGGGACAACGTTGTATGACGACTTCAGTGGTGATATTGTCAGTCGCAACATATTACATGGAAATGTATTGCTCGGACCACCGCGTCTGAGACAGATCTCTGTGACTAAAGGTGTCTGCAAGACGAGTGTCTTCACCAATCACATGCCCACGTGTTATCGTCCCTACACTTGGTTCAATGAGAACCGTGGACAGCATCAGGGATCTGCCTGGGTAAGCATGTGGGAGGCTGGAGTGACGCCTATAAACGGCGTGTTGGAAGTGTATTTGGGCGCTGGCTTTGTCAAGAGTCTCACCCACAACCATACGGAAAATGTCAAGTTAATTGAGAGCTTGCGCGATAGCAAATGGATCAGTCGCAATACCCGAATTGTTGTAATTGAGTTCAATTTATATCACATCATGACAAACTTATTGGAGAGCGTGAAGTAAGTTGAATACTAATTAGAATAATTAACGGCAACTTTTGCCAAAGAGAGAGTGAGAGAATGGGGAGTGTGAAAGAGAGGGGTGGGTGTATGTAGACATGACAATGTTTGTATACTTGATTAGCTTTTTCTTGAGGGCTTATTTTACTTGTTAATTTGAGTTTTTCTCGAAAAACTAAATAAGTCTGAGACTATAATACAAAATAAGTTATATATATAAATATAATAATTATATATTTTTAAATAAATATAGTTAACTTACCTAGGTTTCTGGTGTAGGCTGCGCTCTTCGGGTCCATAAATGAATCTATTCTCTACAGCTCTTTATATTCTCTTAACCCTCTGGCTTACAGGCTTCGATTTGAACAATCTTCCTTTGGTGGAATTATTCCCAGTTATTCGTTCACAGTAATACAGCGACATTCGTTCTTTACCTCACCCGAGCGGAGCTTACAAGTTATAGCATCTTTGTACTATGTAATGGTCGTGCTGTTTACAGCTAGAGATGCTGCTATTATCACACAAATCGGTTTCTGTAAATATATACGCAGATTTAGGAACTGCACGGACTTTTTCTGCTACGTGGTGAGTAGACCAGAGCGAACTTCAAAAACTAAATTTGGTTCTGTTTTGTTTTCCTAAATAAGTTCTTCACATCCCTCAGCTATCATACTTAATGCTGATAATCCATATCGTTCATTACTTCCATATTGAAGGCTTATTAAAGAGAATGAAAAGATCTGATAAATATATTTCTCTTGACTGGGCATGCGTCTTGGTAATTGCCTACAATAATATTGCTGGAGCTGCAATTTTTCTGATCTGGGCTCGTCTGCTTACCTTTTTGATAATCAATCGAACCATGGCGGTATTTGTGGAAGTGATGCGAAGAGTACGTAAGTCTCTTTATAAACAAAAGTTCGAAAGAATCTCATTTCTAATATTCCAAACATGGTCAGATAACTTAGAGTTATTGCGAGTTTCCTTGAATATTTGAAATATTAAAAACTAAATTTAAAAAACTTTGAATAAGCTTTAATAAGCCTAGCAGAACAATGAATGTGCGTCGTTTCGCATGCTTGAGCGTGTTCATCTAGGAAATTATAGGAATTAGAACTTTGTTTAACAATCTTCAATTACATTCATTTTCCATTTCCATTTTAGTCCATTGTCTAAAGAGCTTCAGAGATCAGAGTTTTGTATAAAGTTTCTTCAAAAGCATACTTAAATAATTTACAGATTCTGTATTTGGAATGCTTATCGGATACCTCGTAGTCGGGCATTCGCGACTGGAACTTACCTGGGTTATATAATTGACTTTAGTTTTTTATTTACTTTCAATCTTGTAGAGCATCCACGAAATGATTGGATTTTCTGTCATGCTCGTGACCTTCATAATGGCCTACGCAGAGTGTGGCCTTGCATTATTTGGCGACTGTGAGTATAAGTTTAGCTCTCTAGGTAATGCAATAATAACTATGATGGGCTTATCGGTGTGCAAATTTCGATATGAGGATTTGATAGAAAAAGATGAGTGGAAAACAAGGGTTTTCTACATGTCCTTCGTGTTTGTTGTCTATGTGCTACTTATGCTGCATGCATTCCTCGGTATCGTCAATACCGCCTACGATGAAACCAATTTGAATTCAGAGACAAAGCGACCTAAATTACTGGAAGTCATTCGTCTGTTTTTCCAGAAAGTTTACGATCTGCTGTATTTGATCTTGTGCCGTAAGCGAAGACTGCGCGAAGAAATAAACACGGATGCCGTGGATGAATGGGAGTCGAAACCTACCAACACAGGCAAACGCAAGCTTCAAATTAAGTAAGTTGGCCAACCCAAGCTCAGTCACTAACAAACTACGCCAGCATTACTACTATTCCTATCGCAGCAATCCTGAGCCCCCCGCGCTGGAAGTGCATCTGCCCAAACGCCTGAGAAGGTGGGTGAGATAACAATTATTTATCAACAAATGCTCGAAAATATCTATATATATCTATGTATATATACATAATTGTACTATACATATATGCCTATATTCCAGTGCCACCCAGCGTATTGATCTATTAGAGGAGGTAATTGTCCCAGTGCTGAAGCGCTTGCTTGGCTATTACAATCGACTGCGCGAGGAGAAAGGACTGCCTACGATAGTAATTGAGGATTTAGACTTGGATCCTTAGCCAGACAGGCAAGTTGCTTTGCTCTGATACAATATTTAAAATATTTCAAAACATAAGAATTGTTTTATATGTTTTATGTTTAAACAAATATTATCTAAACTTAGGTGCAAAAAAATTAATAAACTTAGATTAATTAAAATATCCAAAATATTTTGTCGCAATTTAAATATCAATTGAGAACATTTTTTGTAGAAACTGAATTTAAGTTAAATCAATTTTTTTTCAGCTATTATTTTATAATAAATTTATTTAATATATAACTTATTTAGAAACAATTATTTCTTATAAAATTTGTATATGAACTGAATAAGTTTGCAAATGTATAAGGCATAGAGCGCAGGACTTGGAGCCTTTCTGTTGTTCATTATTCACCTCTAAAGGTGGCTGCTTTTGTTTATGAACTTTTTAATCAACAATCATAAACTGTACTCTCATCAAGCTGAAGTTTTCTTAATTTCAATTGTGTAGCCTGTAACGCCCACACAGCCTACCTATCCCTTATCCCTGCTGCACTTCAGAGCTCATTATGCGCTCTGTAATCTCTGTTTATGTGTAATAATGATTATAAATAACAAGCAAGAGTGTCAAAGTGGAATGTGCAGGACTAAGAGATGCCCTGTAACAAGCATATTGTTTTGATATACTAAATATATATATCTATCTGCCTGGAGTGTAGTGAGACGACCTACAGTAGCAATCTCTTAGAGGCGGACCGGTTTTTTTAGACGGCACTGTCAAGACTTACCAACGTCCTTTCAACTTCAAGGAGATTTCCTTATGTATGCATCTGTCCGTTGCCTACATTTCGACACAATCATTATACTCTTTCTTGACCCAAGTTCCATGTAGAGTAAAATAAAATAATAAAGTGGAAGAGGAAAAAGGGCGAAACGGGAAAAGGAAATGCCGCACAAACTGAAATATGAAAGCGCAAATAATGTTTAAACAATTTGTTGTCGTTTCGTCTCATTAAATGGCCAGCCTTCAAGTGGATGCTCGACCCACGAGCGGCGCCCGCTTCCTGGACGCGTCAGACTCTTGCTTGTCGTTATAATTTGCAAAAACTGCACAAAGCAAAACAAAACAGAAGCATGAAAGGGGAGGTCGCTGGATAAAAATACAACAGCAACAACAGAGGGAAAAAAGGAAAGAAATTAGTAATAAAATGGAAAGCAAAGTGAAATGGCCGTAGGAGTCTGGCCAGACAGCGAGCAACTTGTTGCTCCGGCAGGATGCCACTTCTCGTTGCCTGGCGTGCTTGCGATTTCCTGTGAAGCGTCGGCGTCAGCATCATCGTTGGTGGCGGTGGCGGCATCGACTTCAGCGTTAGCTTTGGCTTTGGCTTTGGCTGCGTCGCCAACTTGCAACTGGCGACTGACGCTTCCTGCAGCACCCACATCCACAGCGCGATATTATTATTGCTTTTGCCTTCCTTTGCATACACTAACCAAGGCTTTTAACATTTTAGCACATTATGTGTAAACGCTTCAGTGAGATTTTTTAGCACAAAATATCTAGTAATATATAATTATATATTTATAAAATATTTAATAATATTTTATATTTAATATAAATATATTTTCATCTTTATATGTATAGTCTTTTTATTATTTATTTTATCTATTAATTATTTATATCTTAGTCAGGGATATTTCAAGTTTATTTTTATGACGGAAACATTTTAGAATAATTTAATTTTTTTTCTTTTCTTAAGGAACAGGAAATCGGTAATTCTTTTTATTTTGAATATTCTAAAAGTAATATTACCTTTAATAATAATCTATACTTATATATATTTACTTTAATAATATTTATGTTATAAGTTATATTTGTATTATATTCATATTTTATTATATATTAATGTATTTAATTTAATTTAATTAATTTTCATTAATATATTTAATAATTACAATTAAATAGTGTTCAAGTAAATATTATATTTTCTTACTTTAATAATATTTTCATGTTTTTTAATAAGTAAACTTATACTCATGCTAATATATGTATAATAATTATTATTTGATATGTATAAATATATATTAACCGAAGTGTGTTCAGTTGCCTGCTTTCTAAGCATAATTGCTATTTTTTACTATTCCTTTTTTTTGCCTTAACTTATTTGCTGCTTTGTAGAAATTATTATTTTCATTCTTGGAGTTGTGTGTGTGGCAAGTGGCAAGTCCGTTGTCTGCTCGCTTCACAGACGGCTTCTTCTTGCCACTTGAATGACTCATTAAAAGTGATTTCATTTTTAAAAACATTTTTCTCGCTGCGGTTGCTGATGGCATCGTCGGGCTTAGCGCCTTATCAGCAGTCTGAGCCGCGTTCTGTTGCCCTCATTCAGTTCGCACTCTGTCTCTCTCTCTCCCTCCCTCTCGATCTCCTTGTCTCCTTCTGGTTTATCTGTTCCCTTCTCCGTCTACACTGTAAAGTCTTTTTATTTAATTTACTTGGAGTTTACTTTTTTAATTCGCTTAGCTACTTTTGGTGCCGCATTCTGCTTTGGCTTGCGTCGCGTTGCGATGGCTTTGCCTTGGCCGTATCGCTTCCTTTGTGCGTAAATCCTTCACAGAGAAAAGGGACATTTGCCTGCCAGATAAGCGCGCTGAGTCACTCTGGAGTTGTTGCTGTTGTTGCTGCTCGTCCAGCTGCCTAAACGACTTGACAGTTACTTTACGTAATAGGATACAAAATTGCATTGCTGCTCCTGCTGCTGCTGCTGTTGCCGTGGCTGCTGCTGCAGCTGGAACATCAGCAACAGCCACTTGAATGTCGCTTGTTTGCCTTTTGTCAGCTTTTTTACCTAATTCCCCAGATTAGCTGCATTATGCGCCACGCTGGGCGTATAATAACAACCAGCCCAGTCATAGGCCGAACATCAACACGACAAACGCCTCCGCAGCCGTTTTAGAGTAGTTGTTGCTGCTGCTGTTGCACATGTGAGTGGCCACTTGAGCAGCAACTGCAACAACAGCAGCAGCAGCATATGTGATGAGTAATGAGTGCAATACGGACTACGCTGCGATCTGCTCTTTAGTTTGACTCAGTCTTAATTATATGAATTCCTTTAAATTACTTGAAATTCGTATAAAATTTAAAGATGTTTTAAACTGCATTTTGTGTTTTCTGATATACATACAACAATGCTCTATGCCAGACAATTCCCAGGCTGAAGCCAATAGACATCTGAAGCTCTGCTACTTTCTCATCTACTTTTTTATTTGCACTTAACGGAAAGCAAATCAATAATTATCGATTGAATGTAAATGGAATTGACTTTTGTTCCAAATTTTAAGTATTAATCAATTCTCAGCGACAGTTTGCCTTGTGTACAAGTAGGCAGGCAAGCAGACATGGCCTTGAAGAAGTTTGGTATAAATAACATTACATAGCCTTTAAAGCCCAACAAACTCTTTCAACAATTCTCAATTGTTACAGGGTATTATACAATACGCTTTGAGCATTTCATGTTATGTTGGAAAACTTTGAATATGTTAAAGACAACAAACATAAGAGTTGCTGTTTATAATAGTAAATGGCTGGAAACTCATAACAACGCAATTTGAGAGCTTCAAGTGTTGTAGCTAAATTACAATGAGAAAATATTTTTAAATTCTAATTATTTAATACAATGTGCACTCAAATTATAAAAGCATGTATTGTGCACGTATGCTTTTTTTATACCCGAGTGCAGGGTCTCTGCAAGTGAAACTTAATTTTCGATGAGTGCAGTCTGGCTGGACTCCGATGACAATGTCTTGCATATAAAACAGGGCAGACTTCATTAGCAGGACCGAGCCCTAAAGTTAATTTCTCAGCGCATGTACACATACGCAACAACACACAGACACACTACACACACACTCGATTAGCTTTCATTTCAGTGGGCGTTTGCCAGTGGCCAATAAATTTCTATTTAACCATGGACAGCAAACTGAAATAGGGGCAAGCAAAGGGGTTGGGTGCAGGGAATGGTGGCGGAATTGGGCTTGGGGTTGGGGTTGGCTGGCACTAACTAACGGCTACTGTCAGGCCGCGAGCTGAGCTCCAATGAAGCGGCACGTGGAAATGCTTATAATTGCATCCGCGACTCCCTCCGGTGCAGAGAGCTGGAGCTGGCACGGGCCACATGCAGCAATAATTTTGACGGTTGATTGATCAAAGCAGCAGCCGGCGATGCGGCAGTTGTTGTTCTTGTTGTTGTTGTTGTTGTTGTTGTTATTATTGTTGTTGTTTTTGTTTACTGTGTTCTTTTTATTGTTGTATTTGCTGTTGTTCAACTGAACAGCAACAACAGATAGCTGCTTATTTACTTAACTTGGTAACAGCTATTTTACATGCCTTTTATTCATCAAGAGCGAACGAGGGCAGCAGCTCTGAGGGTTGTTGCAAGACACAGCTTACAATTTACAAGATACAGATACATAGATACATGCATGCATACATATAGATCTTCTGCGAGTAACTGCCACAACAACAGCTGACTTGCTTAACTGACTTGGCCCTCAGTCAGCGACAGCGCGGACGGCGCTCAGCTGCAATAAATCAAATTTTAAATCGCCTTTGAGCCAAGT